ACCTTCGCCACTACTGCCCAACCCAAGCCATGGTCCACTCTCCTCATCTATACTGGTCTTACTGGTACCACTCTTGCTTAACTGGAGTCACTTCACACAGCATCCCAAAGGTCAACTTTTAGAATGTTAATCCATTCATGTCAGTATCCTAATTAAAACCTTCGATAGCTTTCCAGTGCCCTTAGGATAAAATCCAATCCAATTCACATTTTCCAAATTTTCTACAAGGTGAGACTCCAATCTAGGCTAGAAAAAGCTCCTTTTAAAAAAAATGACCACACTGGGGGCACCCGGGTGGCTTAGTCGGTTAAGTGTCTGCCTTTGGCTCAGGCCATGATCTCAGAGTTCTGGGATCAACCCCTGGTGCTTCTCCTTCTCCCCCACCCCCCGTTATGCTCCTGCACTCTCTCCTCTCAAATAATCTTAAAAAAAAAAAAAAAAAAAGACCACACTGGAAGAATACTCAGATTCAGCTGTGCATGTGGCCAAAGCAGACATACTGTTAGGGGACACCTTATTCAAGTCACAAATAGTTCCTGCGGCGCCTGGGTGGCTCAGTTGGTTAAGCGGCTGCCTTCGGCTCAGGTTCCAATCCCAGGGTCCTGGGATGGAGCCCCCAAGTCCAGTCGGGCTCCCTGCCCAGCGGGAGTCTGTTTCTCCCTCTGCCCCTCTTTCCTGCTCATGCTCTCAAATAAATAAAATCTAAAAAAAAAAAAGTCACAAATAGTTCTCTTCCAACACCCATGAAAACCCTCAGACAAAGAAACCAGAAAAAGTAAGATGTTGTAGAGTAGACCTGTGGAATCGAGAGATGCACCAAACTGGTTAGAGCCTTTGATGTGGTTTTGGAATGTAAGTGAGGTTTGGCGGGGGGTGAAGTCTGGAGCGGAAGACCAAGGAAGGAGTCGTCTTTGGTGCAAAATGGTGGTTTATTAAAGCACTGGGAGACAGGGCCCGTGCGCAGAAAGAGCTGCTACACCTGAATCTTGAGGAGTGGGGATTATATACTCTCAGGAGTTGGGGGAAGTAAGGAAAAAGGAGGTTTCAAAAGAACTTTCATATGCTAAAGAGGACCCACCTACAAGACACCTACAAGATACCAGAGGCCATGCCATTGTCAAGTTAAGGTTGTTTTCCCCTCTAGCAAGGTATTAACAGGAAGACAGCTGGGAGATTCCTGGAAGAATGTCACACATGTCTCACCCAGGAGTGGGGGTGTGTGGGGGAGGTTGCAGGGTGTCAGGTTATGCTTTGTCTTCAGCCAGCCTTCTGCTCCCTCATCACCTTGACCTGGGCTATACCCAGAGTCTTACCAAGCTAGGAAAAAAAAAAAAAAAGAACAGAATATTCTAGAAATCCTATAATAAGCCAAGACACTCTATGATCTACACAAAGGTTAACTATTAAAAGTTGTTTTAGATAACCTTGTTCAACTCTGTCAAGTCTCTCAAATACAACCTTTCTATCCTCCAAGGCTCAGAAGTTTTCACTCTTACATAAGACACACATTTATACTTAAAGAATACAAAAACAAAAGCCTGAGCCCTCTGAACTAGGTCATCTTTTCAGAGAAAAGAGGCTCAGGCCATAGTCTAATTTGAAATGCTGGTCCCATCTGCAAACCCCAACAAGAGCTACAGTTAATATTAATTAAGAGCAGAAACAGGTTTGTTCTTGAACATCGTTTCTCCCAATCAAGTCCAGGATGCCAATTTTCCTGCACTTGAGATAGTAGATCCAGTACAGAATAATGTGATTTTTTTAAATGCCACTATTTGTCCAACCCTTAAAGCAGGATTCTCACATCCTTTCAGAGGGAGGTTTCAGTCACCATCACTCAGCAGAAGAGATAAGGAGTTTTAATAGGACTTACTACTAAGTGCCAGCCGTGTGTGTGCGTGCACATGCTTATACACATGTATGCACACACACAGAAAAGCTAATAGTCCTTATGATGGAGTGTAGGACCCCCTCCTGGCAATCTATGAGAACTCTCCCTTCTATTTACTCATGCAAAGTACTAAAGAAAACCAAAGAGAACCAAAGATTCGGTTTCTGATTTGGTCTTCATTTTTTTTTTTTTTTAAAGATTTTATTTATTTGAGAGAGAGCAAGCAAGCACAGAGGGAGAGTGAAGGGGAGAAGCAGACTCCCCACTGAGCAGGGAGCCCGATGTGGGGCTTGATCCCAGGACTCTGGGATCATGACCTGAGCCAAAGGCAGACACTTAACGGACTGAGCCACCCAAGCGCCTGGGTATGGGTCTTCATATAAAGTCTTTGATTAAGTCTCAGCCTGCACTGCTCCAGGCTGATGAGGCAGTGCCAATGGGTGACAGCTATCTTGAGGCTAATCTGGTCCATAGTAAACACAAATTTTTACCATAAATCGAAGCTAATTAAACAGAATGGACTCAATTACTGGAGGTTATCTGACTTCTGAGTAGCAGACAGAATTCGTGACCCATGCCTCCAAAACAGACTTGAACTCTTTTTATGCACAAGGTACTTCACCATTAATATCCCTGACCCTGAAGTCTCTTCATCGGGAACTGCAACATGGTGAAGGTAGAAGGCACAAGGAGCACATGATTATCTTAAATAGTGCTACAGCCCCCAGTACCTTGAACACTGTCTGACACATAACAGGTACTCGGTATCTACCGGATGAATCAGACATTTGCTGCACTGCATGTGACAGCATCAGCAAGTTATGTGCAGAGTAAAGAAATGAATTCTGCCAGGGCAGATGAGGGAAGGCTTCCTAGAAGCAGTGAGGAGCCCTTCCCAGGACGAGCAGCTTTTCAGCAGGCAGTGGCTGCAGGAAAGCCATGTGGACAGGAGTATGCCAGAAGCAAGGCTGGAGCAGATGGCCTGAGATACTTTCCAACTCAAACTCCCACCAACATTTTATGTCCTGGGGTTTTGTCATGCTTCATCATCTCCTTCAAACCTTCAACTTTAATAAAGGAGATACATACAGAGGGGCTGCTGTGTTTCTCTACCAGAAAATTAGCTAAAAGCAAACAGCAGGTAACACAAAAATAAATACTGTGGAATGTTTTCTTATTTACCAGGCACTGAGCCTGTAAGGCTCTTAGAACCTTCTGTGAGAAAATCTGAGAACACCCTCCAAGTCCACTAGAAACAAGCCACTCGGAAAACAAATCGCTGCCCTCCATTTTTCTTCTCTTTCGCTGATAAACAGTTTTTAAATTGGTTTATGCAAAAACTACTTGGTTCCCAAGAGAAAAAGAAAATCTAAACACTTCATAGTCACAGTCTTACAGCAGAGAGAAACTCTGAGAGAAAATGAAGGCACGTGAAAGAGAAGAGAAACTAAAATCCAAAATCCAAGGAAAGTTAAAAAAAAAAGTGAGAGTAAGGGAAAACAGCAACTGGAAAGTTTTCAAAACCTCTATGAAAGTTCAGAAGTAAGCTACTTCCCATCACATTCTCTTTAAAAATGGAAAGGGCACTAATCCAGTCTGGGATGGACAGGGTGCAGTCCCTCATGCCAGAATGAAACCAGCCCCCGAGTCAGGTATAGAGAATGCATGCTAAGAAATGGGCTCAAAGCCACCGCACCCTTTCCTCCCCTCACCAAGCCTCCTGGCTCCCTACCTAAGAGAAACCAGAGCCAATTACAGTCCCTCTCACACAGCTATTCCCCCAACCTGCATTCCAAAACAGAAAGAATAAAATGCAGCTAAATGTGGTATTAAAATGAAAAGACTGAATTGAGGTGAGAGAAAATTCAAGGTGCAACCGGGTACACAGAACTTTTCCTTATGAGAGATAGGGGAGCGGGGGGGGGGGGAGGAGGCCGAGTCTTTTTGAGAATCAAAATAAAAGCTTGCTTTTGCAATAGCTGAAGAGATAATGAATAAACTCTGCCTTGGAGATGTTTCTTAATTCCTAGCTTTTACGCTGTTTTTCAACACGGTCCTCCGCCCACCTATTCAAACTGATCTGTGCTTCTGTAATGAAGATCTACAGATAATTAGCCCACCTATGGGCAAATAACCACCCTGGACACCGCTGAGGGCAGCAGCGAAGGTGAAGCACCCCGTTTGCAATAATGACAAGTTTTCATGAAGGAGTTGCTAATTATGAGCATATATATGCATCCCAGAAGGGTGATGATGTACCAGCGGCGCAAACTGCCACCTCGCGCCTTTCAATGCCAATTCATCGGGAACTGGGGTGGACGCGGGGCAGAAGGAGAGGGGTAAGGGCCCTACTGAAAGACTAAGAGATCAGGCGGGCGATCTGCATCCCCAAATCCACGACGCCAGCCAAGGGAGGCTTTCTCAAGAAGCCATTTCCAGGGAAGCTAGATTTAAAATGTAATTTATCAGATCGAGTCTCCTACTACGTAGTCTCCTAACGGCCAGGCCCCGGCTTGGGAAAGAGGGCCTGGGAAGGAGGGGGAGTTCGTGGTGAGAGTTTACCTTAGAAGGCGGCCGCGGACAGACAGGCCTTTCAAAGCCACCGGGGCTATGCCCGAAGGCCCGGGGCGGCGCGGAGGGGCAGGAATAGCGCGCGGCTGCGAGCCTTGCGGCGCCACAGGTTCCCCAGCGCGCAGCGGGACCCGACTCCCACAGGTGGGGGGCGAGAGCAGGGGGCGCCCCAGTTCCCCGGGGGCGCGGGGGAAGTGTGGGCAGAGAGGGCTTTGCCTTAAAGAACCAGGGCGAGAGAGAAGCTCGGGGTTTTTCGGCTGTCTGGGTGGTTACCCTTAGCTGGATGGTTACCGGCTCTTCCCCAAGACAGGAGGAGCCCGGGCGGGGAGAGGAGCCCCATGCACCTCCCACCCTCCTCCCTGCGAGCCTCGGCCTCCTCCAGGGGCGCGGTTAAGCCGCACCGCCGCGGGCCACCGTTTGCATGCTCCCAGGCACGTAGGAGCCTGCACGACCGCACGCGGGCGGGGGAAGGGCGCCCGGGGGCCGAGGAGACCCGACCCAACCCGATCCTGCTACGGCTCACCCCCGCACCCCTCACCGGTGTTGGCTTTGATGTTCTCCCGCAAGAAGTGGCCGCTGGAGAGATGCTGGAGGCCAAAGCTCTGAGCGATCCTCTGGCACACGGTGCCCTTGCCCGAGCCGGGCGGCCCAAGGATGACCGCGCGCAGGAGTTTGGAAGCCATTGCCTTCGCCAGGCAGGGAAGGGGCGGCCAAACAGGCAACCCGGACAGCAGCCTCGGAGAAGCCCCGGGAACTTTGTTGCTGCTGCTTCTGCCTCTGACACTCTCCGCTCGCGCGGGGACTCGCCGGGCGCCCCTGCAGGGGGAAGGAGTGACTTTTGAGACAACCCCTCCCTTCAGCCCCGCGGCGGGGCCGGCTCGAAGGCGGAGAAAGGCGCCACGCTACCCATCCCCGCCCTCCTCGCCCCCACGCCGCGATTCAGTACGAGTCCCGAATCCCCGGGTCGACCTCGGGGGCTCGGAGGGCCGCCCGGCCAGGCCCACCTCGGTCCCTTCCTCTTTCGCTCCGCACGGCGTTCGAGGAAGGGGCCAGGCGGCCTGGCATCCCCGCGCCAGGCTCCACCGAGGGGGAAGCCGGGAGGGGCGGCGACTCCACGCGCGCACCCAGTCGCCCCACGCACCCAGCGGCCTGGGGGCTGAGCCCCGGCCCCCGCCCTCGCACGTGGGCAGCGCTGAGTCGGCGCCGCGGCCCCTCCCCAGCGGCTGTCAATCCCCTGGAGTCACCGCCGCCCGCCGCCCGCGCGGACCGCCCAGCGCCCACCTCCGCCGAGGGTGAACCAATGCGCTCCCCGCCGCGGGGAGCCCGAGTCCGGTCGCTTCTCCACCCCAAGCAGTCAAGTAAACACACACCTCGGTTGGGACGCGGCACTCCGCGAGGCTTCCAACCCGGATCCCGCTGGGCGGCGCCGCCTCCGCCCGCCCCCACTCCGAGCCCCAGCCGGCCGCGCGGGACTCGCGCCTTACGTAAGCCTGGGAGACCGGCTCCGCGCGAGTCGCCGGCCGGCGCCCCCTCCCCTTCCCACCACTCAGCTCCCCCCCACCCTCCCGGCCCACGTGCTCCCCACCACCCAGCGGGCGCTGTGGGGGCGCAGGGACACACCCTTCTCTTGCGGTCGCCTGGGGACCCCGTCTACTGTTGAGGGGAAGGAAAAATACAACTTGTTGATCGCCTACTGTGTGTCAAGTTCAGGGCTAGGCGATTTCCTTACGCAACCGTTCCAGATAGAGTATTCACAGATAAGGAAAGGAGGCTTGGCGTATCGCCATTCATTCAGCAGATGTTATTGAGCTTATACCATGTTCCAGACACTGTTTTAGGCGCTTGGCATATAGCTGTGAACCAAAGAGATGGATGGAGGTTTGAACCCTCAGCTGCCTGACTCCAAAGCCCAGGCTCCTTAGGGAAGAGGGAAGGAGGGGATGAACTCTCACTTGTGCTCAGGTTCTTAGAGCGAACTGATTTCAGGACTTCAGGGCCCAGGATGTTGGCACTACAGTTAAAACCTACCAAGTCCAAAAGGTGCTAGCTCCTCCCTCCCCTCCCCTGCGTATGCCCCTCCATATTCTCTTAAATCTGTCCCTACCCACCCAGCCACCCCCCCACAGCCTTCATTTCCCGCTCGCGCTAGTGTGATAACTGCCAGCCCTTAAGTCTCTAGCTTCCGCTGGTCCATCCTCAGTGCAGTCGCCAGAGAAGTTGCTAACGTGCAAATCAATTTCTGTTATTTCCCCACAGATAAAAATCGTCCCTTCAGGAGAAGAGCCTCCTCTAGAGTCTTGGCTGCACTGTTGGGGGGCGGGGGGCAGCGAGTAAGTAAGAGCCTGGCAGAGTATTTCTTTCTCTCTGTCCCTGACACCCCCAGCCCCTCTCCTCCAGTACCTCCTCCGAAGACAGACAGCCAGACAACGCCTAGTCTCCATCTGCCTGAGAGCACATCCAGGCCACCAACCTCAGCTCAGCATTTGTTCAAAAGGCTCATTCCCTTGTCTAAAATATCTCGGAGTTTGCTGTAGACATCAGGAGGTTGTTACACTGAGCCCCTTCAGCCCTTCACCTGGGAACAAAGAGGAGAGCTTCCGGGAATGTGGGGGTGACTTAAATCTCCCCTCCCTTTCCCTCCATATGCTGTATAATATATAGTGGATACTTTGCAGTCCTCCTCAGACCTGAGCATGCATCAGAATAACTCAGAGGGCTTGTTAAAACAGATTTGCTGAGCCCCTCCCCCAACAGTTTCTGAATCTGTGGGTCTGAGGTGGGCATTTTTTTTTTAAGATTTTTTTTTTCCCCCACAAAGAGAGATAGCGAGAGAGGGAACACAAGCAGGGAGAGTGTGAGAGGGTGATCCCAGGACCCCAGGATCATGACCTGAGCTGAAGGCAGACAGTTAACGGCTGAGCCACCCAGGCACCCCGAGGTGGGCATTTCTAACGTTCCCAGGTAATGCTGAGGCTGCCAATCTGGAAATCAGCCCTTGAAAAGTGTGGTCTCCACACTCTGAAAACCTGCAGCTCTGCTGCATTGAGACATGGGAGATGTGTGGCCTTATGGTTCCTCTGCCTGCTCTGGGAACTTTGGCCTTAACCTCTTCTTTTTCTAAAATGAGGACATTGGATTTAGTACTCCCAAAGGTCCCTTTGTATCCATCAAGCATTGATTCTTTGAGTTCCCACAGGAAATAGTTCCTAGCCCTCACAAACTAGATGAACTATATCCCATCTTCCCTATCACCCAGTTCTTTTGCCTGCTTTTTGGAAATGTGTTTACCAACATCACCTTATAATTTCTTGGAGCAACATTAGCCACTCACACGGTCGTAGGACTTAGTGCTTTAGGAGTTTAGGAGCTTATATTATGAAACGAAGAGTTGTGACATAGGTAAACTCAATAAAGAAACCCAGCCAAGATTGGAAGGAGCCCTCCATGAACCTTCGCCATGCCCAGCTCAGGCTCCTACAGTCCAGCAGCTGATTGGAAGCAGTAGAACTGGAAGAAATGGGTTTTGGAGTCTAACACCCCTGGGATTAAATTGCAACAGCACCATTCACCACCTCTGCAAGTTTCTTCATCTCTGTGAGCCTTGGTTTGCTGATCTGTAAAAGGGAGCTAATACTTATTGCTTAGACTAGTAGGGAGGTTTAAATGAGCTGAGGTACATATTGGATTCAGCACAGTGCTGGGCATATAATAAGTACTCAGTGGTGAACATCATCACTATTATTAACCATGGGACAATTATTTAGTTTCTCTGATCTAACTTCCCTAATTGTGAGGAATAAATGAGCTAATGTGACAAAGTATTTCGCAGACTCCCTGGCCCTTGGAAGATACTCCATAAATGGTAGCTATTTTTATCACACATACACCCATATAATCAACGTCTTCCTATTTCCTTTGCCTGGGGTTTTATTTTTTTTAAGATTTTATTTATTTATTTGACAGAGAGAGAGAGACAGTAAGAGAGGTAACACAAGAAGGGGAGGTGGGAGAGGGAGAAGCAGGCTCCTCGCTGAGCAGGGAGCCCAATGTGGGGCTTGATCCCAGGACCCTGGGATCATGACCTGAGCCGAAGGCAGATGCTTAATGACTGAGCCGCCCAGGCACCCCTGCCTGGGGTTTTAAATCTGTTTATAATATTTATCACAGTGTACAAAGTAATATATATCTATGTGTTTGTCTCCCCTAGAGACAAACTGTAAACTCACTCTAAGAGGAGGGGCCAAGTTTTATTCATCTTTCTGTCCTCAAAAATATACAGCACTTTGCAGTAATAAGTGCGCTGTTAGTGTTGGCTATTCTTTCTCCCCCTCCTATCACATTTGACATCAAGCCCTGGCATCTCTGGGCAACTTCACTGGATGGTAATGCAAAGTCTACATTTGATCTCACTTTACACATCCCTTACATCAGATTCTCTTAGCTGGACTGCAGTGCTCCTGTTTAGTAAGCGTTCGTCATCTCCATATTACTGTCACAGTTTTGCCATAACCTTGTACCACCTTGGTTCTTATCCACTTATCATGTTTCTTGAAATATTGACTCAGTTTGTTTAAATAATTTATTTAAAAAACTGAATGTAACTCACTAACCATAAATAAGAGGACACACTAAAATAAATACGAGAAAAATAAAAAAAGGTTACCAAATTCTAGCTGGAATCTACTAAAGTCACTCGTGTGCAGACCAGGTTGGCTCCCTCAACAGCCAGATACCTATGAAAGGCTCTTCCCACTAGGACTTACCTCTCAGGAATCTCCACAGGTTTTAACTTAGAGCTTCCCTTCCTGAACCTGCCAGTTCATCTGTCGGTATCCTGCTGCCAACCAACAGCCACATCATTGCTGTGTCCCAGGGTTTGGTCTTGCTGCCAGACCCATTTGATGTGACACTTGGCTCGCTGTTGATCTGGCTCCCAAATGGCATTCCCACTGTTCTTCACCATTGGCACAGGCCAGCCTGCCAACTCTAGGGTCAAGTTCCAACTGTCCTCACCTGCCACCACCACCTCTCTACCACAAACGTGGCTAGTCCCAAAGTGGCAAGTCCCAAACGTGGCTCTCAGATCCCCAACCCAGATCATAGGCCCCACTTGTCTGAGAGGTCACCAGGGACAAATCATTCTGAGGGACAAACCAGAAAGGTAGAAAGGGAGTATCATTTAAAAGATGTGTCTTGTAGGAGAGCTGTACAGAAGACCCAGAGGAGACACAAAGGTCAGAAATGCGCTCACCAGTTTAAGAGAAACTGATTCAGCAAAATCCTAAGCAAGGAAGGGCAAGTTAGCACAAGGGTTAAAAGGATGGACTCTAGAGACAGATTGACAAGTTCAGTCTTCACCTTAACCGCTTACCAGACGTGTGACATGTTCCTTAATCTGTGCTTCATTTTTTCCACCTGAAAAATGGGAATAGGAGCAGTTTCAATCTCATAGGGTTGTTGTGCCTGCATGAATTAGTATATGCAAGGGCTTGGAACAATGCTTGGTATGTGGTATGCATTATGTAAGTGTAAGTTTCATTATTATTGGTTCTTCAACCCCCACAAAGCACAATGTGCTTCATGGCACTAGAGGCAGGTTCTTGGAAGAATTAAGCCCTGCCAGACAAATTTATTCTACTACCAGGGCTACCCTCATGTGTTTTGTGTGTGTAATTTGTTTTCACATAGACTTTCATATATTAAAAAACAGCTGTCTTGGGGTGCCTGGGTGGCTCAGTCGGTTAAGCATCTGCCTTCGGCTCAGGTCATGATCTCTGGGTCCTGGGATCCAGCCCCGTGTTGGGCTCCCAGCTTGGCAGGGAGTCTTCTCTGTCTCACACACACACTCTCTCTCTCTCTCCCTCTCGCAAATGAATAAATAAAATCTTTTTTAAAAAATAAAAAAAAAAAAAACAGCTGTCTTGTCCTATCTGAAGCTTCTCTCTTTTTTTATTTATTATTTTTTAAGATTTTATTTTATTTTTTATCTATTTGACAGAGACACAGCGAGAGAGGGAACACAAGCAGGGGGAGTGGGAGAGGGAGAAGCAGGCTCCCCGCCGAGCAGGGATCCCAAAGTGGGGCAGGGAGCCCAACGTGGGTCTCGATCCCAGGACCCTGGGACCATGACCTGAGCTGAAGGCAGACACTTAATGACTGAGACACCCAGGTGCTCCCCCTTTTTTTAGCTTCTCTCTTTTTTTAAAGAGTTTTTTTAAGTTTATTTATTTAAGCAATCTCTACACCCAACATGGGACTCGAACTCATGATCCTGAGATCAAGAGCCACATGCTCTACTGGCTGAGCCAGCCAGTAGCCTGGAAGCTTCTTGCTAAATATTCTGAATTACTCGGCCATTCCTTAAGTAATGTGGTACCCTGCTAGAAACTAGCACAACAGTGTGTCTTTTGCTGTTTAAGTAAGAAATACCAGAAAGCTCTCCTGTTCAGTCTCAAAAGATTTATAGA